TTCTAATGTTGAACCATCCCTGCATATCTGATATGAACGCCACTTGGTCATGAGGAATGTTTTTCTTGATATTTTGTTGCAGTCTGTTGGCTAGGATTTTATTGAAGATTTTTGCATGTATATTCATGAGGGATATTGGTCTGTAGTTTTCCTCTTGAGTGATGTCTTTGCTCTGTTTTGGTATCAAGGTTATGTTTGCTTCATAAAATGATTTAGGGAAGATTGCATCCTTTTCTGTATTTTGAAATAGTTTGAGTAGGATTGGTATCAGTTCTTCTCTGAATGTTTGGTAGAATTCTCTAGTTAAACCATTTGGGCCAGGACTTTTTTTAGTTGGTAATTTTTTGATGAACTGTTCAATTTCTTTTGTGATCGGCCTGTTCACCTTTTCCAAATCAATCTGTTTTAGTTAGGTAAGTGATGTGTTTCTAGAAATTTGTCCATTTCTTTCAGATTTTCGATTTTGTTGGAGTACGGTTCTTCATAGTATCCTGATATTATCCTTTTCATTTCAGTTAGTTCTGTTGTGATGTCACCCATTTTGCTTCTTACTCATGTTATTTGTATTCTCTCTCTCCTTTCCTTTGTTAAATTTGCCAGTTGTTTGTCAATTTTATTGATCTTTTCAGAAAACTAACTTCTGTTGTCTTGGTTTTTTCTATTGCCCTTCTGATTTTCTGTTTCATTGATTTCTGCTTGAATCTTGATTATTTCCTTTCTTCTGGTGACTAGGCTTTTCTCGCTTTTCTTTTTCTAATTGTTGGAGATCTTGGTTTAAAGTGTTGCTTTTGGCTAGCTCTTCTTTTTTGCTGTGTGTTTTTATTGCTATAAATTGGCCTACGCTCACTGCTTTTGCTGTGTCCCAAAGAGTTTGGTATGTTGTGGTTTCATTCTCATTTGATTGAAGGAATTTTCTAATTTCAATTTTGATTTCTTCTCTTACCCAGTCTTTCTCAAGGAGGGTGTTGTTCAGTTTCCATGTGTTTACTCTTTTCCTGTTGATCTTCCTATT